TAGCCGTACAACGGGAAGTAAAGACTAAAACTACATGATAAAAAAAAAGTAAAATAAAATAGTAGACACGAAATCTGAGACTGATAGTTTGTTGATGTCCATATTGAGGGAGAACTTCTTTATTTATAGATGATTCTGGCTTGGTGCCTAAGTCCCATAATCGTCACTTTTCTTAAATTTAAGAAGTACTTTCTATATCATGGTCATTCATCATGGATGGAGTACAAATGGTCTTGATTTAATGGCTAAGACTTCATAAATATTTTCTTTTATTTTAAAGCCAACTAAATTGAGTTGAGCTTGGACTTTCAAATTCACAATTCGGGTGTAAACAATGCCCTCTACATATAAATTGGCCGAAGCCTTTATAGGCCAATTTTGTATGGATATGTTTTAGAGGATCGGCTCATTTTCATTTTGATTAATGGTTGATCTGATAATTTTCTTAAAAGACACCCTTGTGATTGAGGATTAAAGACCATGTGGTCTAACTTAAAATCAAGCTTCTCAAGGTTTGGGACCTTAAGAGTTGACTTTGGAATTGGTCCTTCAAGTTTTTGGATTTTAAGGACTAGTTTTGTAAAATATAGCTATTGTGGGGCTCTTGCGGAGAGAGCTTTTATGGAAAGGGCCCTTATAAAGCTCGCCTTTCTGACTTTGGCCCCCGTAGTGTTAGCCCCTTTGATGTTGGCCCTTATAGTGTCGGCCCCTGTGACTCTAGTCCCTATAACTCTGCTAGCCCTTGTGGCTTCCGGCCCTGTGGTGTTGGCCTCTATGATTGTGGCCCTGATGGCTCCGGCCTCTGTAGTGCTGGCCTCAATGGCTTTGGCCCTTGTGGTTGAATAGGCTTGCTATTAAATAAGACTTGCCATTTATCTTTTAAAAGATGTTATACTGGTCCTCGTTATTGATCTTTTGGTCGAAGGGCACTTTGGGATATTATCTCTCGAGTCCATCTATTCTTTGAAGATGCGAGTCAATTAAAGCTTGCTCATGTGACGATCTAGATAACATAGCAGAAATGTTCCTTAACCTCTTTTTCAGAGTTTGCAACAGAGCTCTTTGCCTCTCATTAGCTTGTACTTCACATTTTGCACGTGCAGCCACATTCTTTGAATTGTAAGACTCAAGTCTATTTTTTCCAACAACATATTGATCTTTACGTATCCTAGGCATTCCTTTCACATATGTCCTACTAAGCATGCTAACAATTATTCGTAAAAAAAAAAAAATAAAGCATGGTGTCGCAAGACGTGTCAAAGACATGAGGTCTCAAAAGGATAAAAGAACTTGACTTTTATTTAAACACAGGGAACCTGAGCTCCTTTACCATAATTTACCCAGATGTAAAAATGAGAAGAAAAAAATTAATGTAGGTGCAGGAAAGCAGGGATACATTAATTAAAGAAAGAGGTGGCGGGCTATACCGGCCGTACAATGAAAAATAAATACTAAAATTACATGATAAAAGGAAAAGTAAAATAAAGTAACGGACACAAAATCTGAGACTCGTAGTTTGTTGATGCCTGTGATTAAAAAAAAAAACTCCTCTATTTATAGATAATCTTGACTTGATGCCTAAGCCCTATGATCATCAGTTTCCTTGAATTTAAGAAGCACTTCCTCTATCATAGCCACTCATCATGGGTGGAGTGCGGCTGATCTTAACTTGGTGGCTAAAGTTTTATAAATATTTTTTTAAATTATTTTGAAGCCAATTAAATTGAGTTAAGCTTAAACCTCCAAATTTATAATTTGGATGCAAATACTTTGCATCGCACAATACGTAATTTTTTTATGTGCGTGCAGTTTTCTTTTCCATGTTACTAAATTTCATTTGGTTTTTATTGTTTAAAATTAATGTTTAAATTCTAATTCCTAGAGTTAAATAAGCCATTTTCATTTTATTTTTGTTTATATTTTGTCAAATACTCTCTTATTATTTAAACTTCACTTTTTATGTTTATACTTGTCGTTTAAAAGTATATATTTCAAATACCAAGACATTGTATAACTAGTTACATAATTGAAATTTAACAGAATACGAACTCACCTTTTGTTGATCTCGTCTCTAATTCAGTCCCGTGGGCATTGGATACTAGCATTTTGTATATAATTAGTCACACTACAACAACAACAACAACAAGCCTTTATCTCACTAGGTGGGGTCGGCTACATGGATTGCAAGACGCCATTGTGCTCTATCATTTATCAAGCTTTTCGGAATATTATTAATTAAGAGATCGCGTTCAACAACTTCCAAGAGTGTTCTCTTAGGCCTTCCTCTACCTCTCTTAATCGGACTCAAAGTTATATGTTCCACTCTTCTCACTGGTGCCTCCCTTGGTCTTCTTTGTACATGCCCAAACCATCTCAACCGATTTTCTACCATTTTTTCCTCAATAGGTGCCACCCTCACTTTTTCGCGTACGTGCTCATTTTGAATTTTATCTTTACGTGTATGTCCGCACATCCATCGTAACATTCTCATCTCTGCTACTCCAACTTTATGCTCTTGCTGTCCCGTTAGAGCCCAGCATTCACTACTATATAACATTGCCGGTCTAATAGCAGTGCGATAAAACTTTCCTTTAAGTTTATTAGGCACCTTACGGTCACAAATAACTCCTTTAGCTTTTCTCCAATTAAACCACCCAGCTTGAATTCTATGTGAAATATCTCCACTGATTTCGCCATCATTTTGAATAATGGCTCCTAAATATCTAAACTTTTTCACTTGAGGTATAATTTGATCTCCCAATTTCACTTCCAAATTATTGTCGAATAGTCCTTTACCAAATTTACAATATAAATATTCCGTCTTACTTCTACTCAGGCGAAAACCTTTCGACTCCAATGTCCTCCTCCATAACTCAAGTTTGCAATTAACCTCTTCTCTTGTCTCTGCTATAAGAACTATATCATCCGCGAAGAGCATACATTTCGGGATTTCCTCTTGAATATGTTTCGTCAAAACATTTAAAATCAAGTTGAACAAGCAAGGACTTAGAGATGATCCCTGATGTAATCCAATCTTTATAGGAAAATCTTTTGTTTGACCACTAGGCGTTCTTATACTAGTTTTTACCCCCTCATACATATCTTGTATGGCTTTATATAAGCAATCCGTACTCCCTTTTTTTCCAATGCTTTCCAAAGCACTTCTCTTGGTATACGGTCATAAGCTTTTTCCAAATCAATAAAAACCATGTGTAGATCTTTATCTTTATAATAATATTTTTTCATTAATCCCCTTAGTAGATAAATCGCCTCTGTAGTTGATCTACCTGGCATAAAACCAAATTGATTCTCAGAAATACTTGTCTTCAATCTCAACCTGTGCTCAATTACTTTCTCCCACAGTTTCATTGTGTGGCTCATGAGTTTAATCCCTCTAAAGTTAGTACAATTCTGAATATCTCCTTTATTTTTATAAATAGGAATTAATGTACTTCTCCTTCACTCATCAGGCATTTTCTTGGACCGTAAAATCACATTAAATAGCTTAGTTAACCATCTCACCTCTTCTTCACCTAAACATTTCCACACTTCGATAGATATACAATCCGGTCCGTTGGCTCTACCATTTGTCATTTTCTTCAGAGCTTCCTTTACCTCCTTATCACGTATTATTCGATAGAATGACAAATTTTGTTCTCCTTCACCAGTTACTAAATCCTCCAAGTTACTAGATGAATCCTCTCCATCATTGAAAAGTTTAGAAAAATAAGTCTCCCATCTATTTTTAATTTCATCATCTGTAACTAAAATTCTTCCCTCTTCATCCTTAATACATCTTACCTGTTCTAGATCTCTTGATTTTCTTTCCCTACTCTTGACAATCTTATAAATATTTTGCTCTCCTTCCTTCGTCTCAAGGTTCTTATAAAATACTTCAAAAGCTTTAGAACGAGCTTCACCCACAGCTCTCTTAGTTTCCTTCTTAGCCATACGGTACCTCTCCCAATTTTCCTTATTGTTACGCAAATGTATGGCTTTAAAACAGTTTTTCTTATACTTGATTTTGTCCTGTACACTATTATTCCACCACCAAGACTCCTTATCTCTCGGACCAGAACCTTTCGATTCTCCCAAAATTACTTTTGCAACCTCCCGTATCTTTTTAACCATATCCTCCCATATGATGTTAGCACTTCCCTGAGAATCCCAAATTCCTTTATCCAAAAGATTTCGCTTGAAAATATCTTGCTTCTCACCTTTTAATTGCCACCACCTAATCCTTGGTGTTATTACTATTGGAAAAAAAAATTGTATCTTGTGCACTACACAATTTTTTTTTTAATACATGACCACAGCAAAACAATGCAAAAAGATTAAAAATCCACTTATGTCAAAAGCCAAAAAATTTCTACAATCATGCTAGAGAATCATAGATCATGATAAAATTTTCACAGAATATTCAGTGAGCTAAGTGATCAACACATTTATTCACATCTATTCATGTATCTTGTGCACTACATAATTTTAACATCAAGTGATATCAAAATTTCACAAGAAACAAGTTAGGAGAAAATACAAATATAAGTAGCAGAGATTAACCAATAAATTTGACGACTGTATTACCGACTTTTAAACTAAAATTATGAAATTCATATTTAGTAAAACTATTAGCTCAGAAGCATATTTTAATCCAATATTGACATGAGAGCTTAACCTCACAAAAACAGTTCACCAAGCCTCCAGCAAGTTCTCTCTGTTCCAACATGAAAATCATTTACTCTCCTTGTTAATAAAGAAACTACTAGTTCCAATAATTCAGCTACTAATCAGATATTTGGATTTATCAGCTTACAAGCTATCCCAGCTATACAAATTTTGAAGAAATGATGGTCAATGAGATGACTAAGCGAACCCCGATTAATAAAGGTTCACACTTACGACCAAAATACTCTGACAGAATCAGGCAAATGCGGTGAAAAATGTTTTTTTTTTTCGGTTTTTTTTTTGGGGGGGGGGGGGAGGGGGGGATACACTGCTAATGCTACAATGTGAAGTAACCGCAATGAGAAATAGTTCAGTCACTATCTAGACAGAGCATTACTCTGACACAGGTAAATAAATGTGAAAATAGAAGAGGGAAGAAAAAAAATCCCCTTGCTAAAATGCTAATGTTACAATCTGAACAAACCGCAGAGCTTGCTCATCTCAGAACTGAGTTCTAATTCTAAGTTTTTTTTTTTACATGCCAGTGACAATTACCAAGGTCACTGCTTCTCAGTTCGGAGAAAGACGAAAAAATCACCATAATTAAATGGAAGTTACAATTCTCAACGTCAAATCGGGATCAATTAGCTTCTGACAACAGGAAACTGCATGTTGAGTATATAGAAGCTGCAGCTGCATTCACAGCTAACTCTTTCTCTGAGCTATCTGTTGGCAATGTTCTGTAAAAATATAAAATACCTATTATCATATTCGTGCGAACTACTATACATGAATAAGTTTAGTTTTTTTTTTTTTTTCCCGGATGAGAATATGCTTGCTGCTATTACAAGAAAACACTCGTAAAGAAACTAGTTACAAATAAGTTCTGGCTTAGAAATCCATGGAAAAAGTTTTTCAGGTCCAAGGTTAAGATGACCGTCCAAGTCAAGGCACTGACATAGCGAATTTCGCGCTCTCCAAAATTTCAAAATCAATCATCACAATTTCGTGCTTGAAAAACAAAATTACAATGGATGGTCACCAAGCAACAAATAGATTAATAATTACTATGTACCAAGAGGCAGAAACTAGAAACAGTAGACTCGCTAGATTAGGCTTCACTTTCAACGAATACTAAACTGAAAAATTACACCAAAGAAGATCACAACAAAAAGCAAGAAGTTCAGTAGACACAAACCACTGAGATTAGATCCAAGCTGCCAGTCAGTGACTAGCTGAGCACGAGATAAAAAATTTAGTGCATTTGAGAAACGTGAGAGACCTAATCCACGTCTATGAAATATGATTGTGCTCATTTTTATATATACCAGCAATCAAATTCAGAATCCTGAGGTTCAGCCGTCTAGAGCTCACCACGGAGAACTAGAACCGGATTTATCAGTAAATCCCCACTCATTCAAGTCACCAAGACCTTAAAAAATTATCCTCAAACTTTCAGTTTTGTGCAATATAACCCCATCCATTCACATTTCTCCACAAAACTTTAATGGCATTGACTCGCTTAGTAGAAAGATCACTAAAATGCCATTTGGGTACTGTAATTTATCTTATAACATCGAAAGTTGATCAAAGACATTCCAGACCTTCAATTTTGTACAACCTATAATTTTGATGAAGTGAACAAGAGTTTCTAGGGATTTACAAAAAGAATATTAATAAATGAGGTGGGTTGAACAAAATTAAAATTAAATTAAAAATTATTAAATTTGTAAAATCCTTGGTTAGCCATGCTTTGGATGGATGGAGAGAAAAATAGAGAGAAGGGAAAACTAGGAAGGAAAAACCCTAAAAATAGTTTAAAAAAATTACCATTTTTAGAAATTTCCCGTCCTAGTTTTTTTTTTTTTTTTTCCCTTTCCGTATTTTCTTCCCACTTTTCCTTCCATCCAAACCAAGCCTAAAGTTAAGCCACAACTGAACTCCTAAGTTGGACTTTTGATGTACTGGAAAATTTGGACTTTTGATCTCTACCTGTATTCCATCGCATTCTTATCATGTGAATGCCCAAATAACCAAATCAGATTTTTTGGGTTTTCTTAAGAAGGCTCTTTAATTCCAGTTTTCTCTTTTCTCCAATTTCCAAAAAAAAAAAAAACAATAAAAGAAAAAATGAAACCCTTGTTATGCCTATTATCAGATGAATTGTGCTTTAATTTGTATGTTTCGATCTATCCTAACCCAGAGTTTTCAAAATATCATCAATAGATTATGGTTTTTAGTTCTATCATATACTGATGCTATAAAATATGCCAAAAGACAAAAGAAGCATACTTTAAAATTTTAAATTGTGCAAATCCAATTGTAAGTCCATAACATCAATAGTTAATAATTGGTGAAAAAACTTAAAGTACAACCTTTACATTCGTACTATTAATTCTCCAATAAAATAAGCTTTTTAAAACTGCAGATCACATGATTATGTAATTTTTGTGTAGGATTTTTACAGCTAAACATTCCATGATTTGGTATGAAACTTGCATACATATGTACAGGTTTGAACATTAAACACCAGGTAATTCCATCCTTGAAAAAAAAAAAAAAATTACACATGTCATAAGTTTATCAAAGAACATAAGAACAACAACAACAACAACAAGCCTTGTCCTATTAGGTGGGATAAGTTACATGGAACATAAGAATAAATACAACATATATATATATATATATCTCTAAATTTAGCTTATAGTTAATACCAGCCAAGTAAAAGATATACCTGGAGTCATATTCTACAGTCCCTAGCATTTGCAAACCATAAGCTGAGTTCCAATTTACATGTTGGAGACCCTGGTCACATAGCAATCGCTTTTCTTTTACTTGATTTAACCAACTTTCCTGAAATTATGAAACAGAAATAGTGCAGACTTCGATTAAGAAAAGCAAACAAAGGCCTTACTGTGTAATCGTATTATACATTACTGAAGCAGGGGCCAAAAAATAAAATAAAATAAAACTCATTATCCTCCTAAGAATATTATTTCACCAGCCACATATCTAGAACCATCATTATTGATAAACTGAGTTATTACATTTCAAACCCCTGGATGACTTCTTCCCATGAAGTTAAAGCATTAGCCCAAAAAAGTGTGCGAAAAGGAAAGATTATCTATCTTTCGTGCACTTACAAGTTGCTTTTCTTCTTCAGCAAGTGCTTCATCCATCATATCAAACAAGGCAGTCCATCTTGTCCGATGCATTTCTGCAATTTTATTATACGGGAGTCCAGCAGTGGCTTCCATAACAGAAGAATCATTTTCTTGGGTATTTGAAAATTCCTTTGACATAAGGTAAGGTAATTCAGTATTAATAACAGCTCGAACTCTCCTCCTACTGCGACGCAAAGCTGAAGCAGGAAAAAATATGATACTGAACGTAAGCAATTGCACTGCCCACTACCTGACAAAATAAAATAAAAATGGAATTACCCAAGAGGCGCCCTTTGATGTCTTGATGAAGGAGCTCCAACCATTGAGATGCAACAGTAGCAGCTGAAGAAACAAACAGAAGCATCCTTATAAGCGAAGCCTTTTTTTCAGTTGCCTAGTCTTAGAAACACTATTGACAAGGAGAATTGTGTAGATTAAAAGCTCTGCAGAATGCATGATGATCTGAGAAGCAAATTCTAAAGCAAAATTTTTTTCCCCACATAGAGTTGATTGCTAACTTTCAAAAAACTAAATTTTCCCTCTTTCATCTCTCCCGCCGGAATGTCTGAACCAAAAAAGCATAAGGAGAGTGGATAAATATAAATCTTGAAATAACAACAACAATAATAATAAGTCATGAGAATGAGGAAAGTGATTACTAGCCTTTCAGGGAAAGAGACGAAACGCTAGTGAAGTTTGATGATTCCTCATTTGACAAAGAGCTAGAACTCACAGATGCCTTGGTTAAAGAGGACAACTTCAGACCTAAAATGTCATCTTCGGCAACATGGGTGAATTGTGATCCACAACTTTTAAACCTTTCTCCCTCCTCCATGCATGGGTCATTTTCCCGAACCTTACCCTCCAAAGTCCAAGAATCATCCATTGCCATAGGATGCTTTTTGGCTTTCCTATTACCAGCAGAATTGTGAAGGATCCCTTCTTCTCGATGAAAGATATGTTGATGCTTTCCTGCTTCTGTTACACATTCCAAATCCCTTTTGCTAACTTCTGTACTTTCACCCGTAAAATGTGTCGCTTGCTTGCATCCGACCTTGGCATTTTCATGCTTTTCAGAGACAATAGCCTCTATAATCGAATGAACCTGTTTTTTATTTCTTACGTGATTAATAATCCCTGGGTTTAATTCATTCAGCAGTCCACTTGGAGCAGCAATCTTTGAGAACCTGTCAACTTGCTCTTTTTTTGCAAGCTCTAACTTTAGCTTGAGGATATCATTTTTACCTTTTCTACCTCGTTTGTTTGGCATCGGGATACCTCCATGAGAAGATGAAAGAAAACCATTTCGCTTCATCTCCCTCCAAATTCTCATAGGATCTTTTTCTTTTATAGGCCCTGTACAGCTACCACTCTCAGAAATATCGTTTGACTTAAATTGATCGTGTTCTTTGTAAGCCTGTGCCTCGCCCAGATTTATACAGCTTGTAACATCTTCTGCATTAAGATCGGCGTCAGTTACTTTAGAGTTTACAAAAGTAGTAAGGGCCCCCCTATCGTGCTTCCCAGGAAAGGATACTTTGGCAGGATTCTTGCCACATTCCCCACTTCTATCACGGGATAAAATTCTGGCACAGATAGCTTCGGAATCAAGATCAAGTGATTTGGGGACAGGATTAACCTCCACCGAGTATGTGCTCGTTCCAATTTTTTCCGCTCGAGAAGCATGGTGTTCCAGAGGTACAGGGACCTCGGTCATTTGGGAAACATCATTTTCACCCGATGGTAATGGAAAATTATGTTCTTTGTCCCCAAACATCATTTTCTGTAGCACAAGCAGAATAAATTAAATTCGACCTCAGACTAGTATACACCCAGTATGATTCATGCAAGTAATTTTGTTCACGGTTAAGCGGGAAAGCAAATTTATTGTGAATGAGTTAGAACTTTGAATACAAAGGCAATCAACCAAACTCGCATGCTACTTGATCTCGGCAAGGCCCTGCCACTAGAGCTGGGAAATTACAGGCTTGGGCCTAAAATAAAAGGCCTTGTTTGCCTATTGAGACACGGGCTCACAGGACAGGCCTGCGGACTTCAAACCCTTTTACCTGATTTCACTTTGTTCCATTCAAATTTTTCTTATCAAAATAAATGCTTCATTCCACCAATTCAAATTCTCAAAAGTCAAAACACAGTCAGATCAAAACTAACAACAGCCAACTCAAAATATTAAGAGGAACCAATAAGAAATTGCTATCTGCTACCAGAGCGAGAGCTCAAAGCTGCGAGGGAGACGCTGGGAGATTTGGGAGACGTTGTCATTCGACGCTTCAACTTCGAGCTTAGCCTTTTCAGACCAGAATTAGATGCTGCTGCCGTAGCCGTGGTTCTGGAATTCTGGTTCGGTTCAAGGCTTAGAGTATGACACAAGGAGGACTTCGGAGAGGGAGACGGAGTCGCGGGCGGTCGAGCAGTGCCGCGGACGGTGAAGACTCAAGAGGAATGACGAGACAAGCACCGAGCAGTCTCACTCTCACACGAGGGAGATAAATCGCAGAAGGCAGAAATGCAAAATCGGGGGCCTGGAGCGAGAGAGACACCCAGATCTGAGACTAAGCCTCGCGCGGACTGAGCGACTGGACTCTGATCTGAGAGTGAGGTGAGAGGTCGAGACCGTGAAGTGAGTCAGGTGAGGACTGATTTTGAGGTCTGAGGAAGACGAACACGGGAGGAGGAGGCGAGGAGCAGAAATCGAAGATAAAGAATAGAGGATTAGGGTTTGCGAGTTGCGACTCTGTGATGGAGAATGGAGTGGATACTGGAGTAGAGTCCACTTCTGGTTAGGGTCCGTGCGGGGTGCGTGAAAAATAACTACCGAGTGCCACAGAAGGATTCAAATTTCTGTCCCGTGAAATGGAAAAATCAATTTAAAGACCCAAGGGACTTTGGTGTAAATAAGTTTTATTGCCTAATTACTAAATTGCCCTCTTAATCTTCTTTCCTCCCTCTTCCAATATTCCAAAGGTGGATATACCAGTCTGAAACTGTAACTGTAAAATGAGAAGAGTGTTGTGGATGACAATGATGATTCGGGAAGGGATGACAACGGAAGCCTCTTTGATTCCCCCGAGAGGTTTTAGGATGTTCTTAACTACTAGAACTCTCAAGGAATGGCACAATCCTGCGACATCAAAGTAGCTCTTCATCTTCCTTGTTCCTTCCTTCAAATTCTGCAAATTTGAAAACTCCTTAGAAACATAGAACATAAACCAAAGCTGAATCAAAGGCCTAGAGAGGAGAGAAATGTTTGTGAGTTAGGAGAAAAAACATGAGAGAGAGAGAGAGAGAGAAAACGTTGTCTTTCGTCAAACGCCATCTATCAAAGCTTTAAACTTCTTCCTCGCCCTTGCCGAATGATGATCACGAATCTCCTCCAATTTGTCAAAGCTTTTGCCATTGAAGCTTCTCCCTCACATACCCTATAGGCATGTGATACATTAACTGACAAACTAAGAGATTTGAGGCTTTAGGCATCCTATAGAGGACAAGACACTAGCTCAAACTTAGAGATTGTGTGATGAATGGTGGGAAAGATGATGAATTTGATAACTGAGTGCGAAATGTGTTTTACAAGGGAGAGAGAAAATTCAGAGCGCAATATAGTAATTAAACAGTAAAACTTATTTACACTGAAATTTCTCAAGACTTCAAAGTGATTTTGTTAATTCATGGGACCTTTAAGCAATTAAAATCTTCAGTGGAACTCCATAGTATTTCTTCCTAAATTTTACATGTATAGTTGTATTTAATATTCATCTGGATGATAATATAAAACATCTTTTAAAAATCTTATCAAGTCCAAAAATATAAAATATTAAATAACTTTTATATTTATTTTTTTAATTATACCCTTAGTTCATTTATTATTGTTATTGAAAAAATTATGCATTAAAATTTTAATGATTATTATCAAGGTTCTTAAAGAAAACATTTAATAAAAATACATATAAAAAGATGGACTAGGAGCCTTTAATGTACCCTTCTCTAATGCCCGTTGTAATGTCCCAACTTCTCAATTTTATTTTTTATTTTTTTTAAAATTAACTTCTACATAAAATAAGAGACATTTGGATATCTTGATGTCTTAAAATAGTAAAAATTTATATTTTTTATAATTTTTTAAAGAAAAATATTACAAATACACCCTTTTATTTTTAAAAAATATAAAAAATATAAATCTTCACTATTTTAGAATATCAAGATATTCAAATGTCTCTTATTTTATATAAAAGTCAATGATCCAAAGAAAAATAAAAAACAAAATTGAGATATTGGAGCATTAGAGAATGATACATTAAAAGTCCCTAGCCCATAAAAAGATATAAATATTTTTATAAATTTAAGATTTTGACTAACGTTATTATTCACAAACTATGAATTAGTTAATTGTGATTTATATTATAATTTGAAGGAGTAAATTTGGTTGGCATGCATGTTTTTTGAAAAGAGTTTCATAAATTAAAACAAAAATATTAAAATAAAACAACGATGATATCCAAGTCAACCTCCTCAAAATAGCTGTAATATTTGCTTGTTTTTGTTAAAATGAGTTGTAAATAATGGCAGTAGCAAGGCTTAGAAGGCAAATAGACAAAAATTCGCGAAAGTCAAATTTAAGTGCAAATGTTGCAAATATGAAATAAATAAAGAAACAACAATATGGTGTGATAGGTCAGGCCGAGCGCTCAAGCTGCGTGATTAATATTATACCTTGTGTTTGAAGCCCCATGTCTAGCTTCGGTTGGATGTACGATACTGTATTATTGTTTGATGCATGGCTGCGTGTGGGCGTTTTACTAGCGTTTTGGATCAAAATTAAAATGAGGTTGAGACAGGACCAGTGAGACTTCTTTATCTGCTGGCATAGCAATCAACATCTAGAGCTATTGGATTTGGTTCAGGATATCGCGTGTAAGGTCCATCTTTACATTAACAAGATACATCATACAATACTTTACCACAGTAATTAACATTAGATAAATTTTTATGTTAAATTACCATAACATGAAAGGTTAACATTTAAAATTAAAAGAACAGTTTATTTTTAAATTTCTCGCCCTACATCGGTTATTCCCTCTGGCCTTTGCTCCTTTTTCTTTTTTCTCCTGCTTAGCTTTTAATTATCCTTGTCTTTTAATCTCACCCCACCTTTCTCTCTTCAGATTCAATTTGAAATCGAAATAATTATCATTCTCTTATTTTAATTGTAATAAAAAATTAAAGAATTAAAAGTGTATTTTAATTTTTATACTTTTCATTGCAACTCTCATATTTGTTTATTTTTTTTAATTTTAATTTCATTCTTAACCTTTTTTTAATCATGAGTCCCACAATTATCTTTTTAATTATAGGCCTCACATTCTTACAATTTTCTAAAAAAATTTCCATCTTTACAAAAGTACAAAAAACTAAGCAATTTTAAAAATATTAATGTTCAAAAAATTGTTGTTCAACAGTAAAACCCTCCTATCCAACCACTTATTTAGGACACATAGTTAAATTATTAGTTTTGTCTAAAAAAGATTAAAAATTAATTTACACTTATTAAATGCATCATATTCAAAAGATAATTTCTTTCTTATATTTAACTTTTACCTATATTCATAAATATATTAAAAATAAAAATTGAAAAAAAAATATATAACTGATGATCCAATTTCTATGCAAAAAATGTATTTTTGAAATAGATAATCAATTACTCCGCATAGTTAAAAATATAAAGAATAATTTATTATTATTTTAAGATGCGGTATTCACTCAGAAGTTAAAATTTGAATGGTAAAACATTTTTTTAAAAATTTTTATTTAACTCTGTTTTTTTTTCTAACATTTTTTATCATTTTTGCATATCAATATTTACATTTTGACTAAATTATATGTTTAGTCATTTAAATTTATACAAAATTTTATTTTGATTATATAATTTTTAAAAATATTTTTTTAGCCTTTTAATTCTAATATCGTTAATTTTATTACAAAAATTTTTTACATTTAACTTTTCCATATAATCTTTAATATTTTTTACAAATATAGGAAAAGTTATATAAAGAGAAATTATTTATTAAATATGATGCATTCAACAAGGGTAAAGCGATTATTTTTAGACAAAAAAAATGTATTCCAAAATGGGATCATTATTCAGCCGACAATGAGCGTTTTCAATTCTTGTTGCTCTATTGGTTTACTCCTTTGGGTTTTTGGATGGAAATCCATTCTCTGCAAATTCCGCCTACGGTAGCCATGATATGATGGAACTGGCATAAGTTTCAAAACTACTCTATTCATGTTCACGGTCAAACAGTTCTATCATGATAATTTTAAAAAAATGAGATTTGGAGAGATGTTAGATTGACAGACCATCTGGAATTTTATCCTTATTTGCTTTTTCGTGGCCATGGGGTTTTGCGTGTTTTGCTGAACTTATGGTTCAGTTATGCTTCATTTTCAGTAGATAACCGGTTGTAATGAACTCAAGAATTTATCAGATTATAAAAAAACTACTAGCCTGTTGTTTAATAGAAATTCCAAGCCTAAATTCACTATTTCAATCCGATTAAGTGAAAATTACAGAATATAAAATGATACAAAGAAGAAATTAGATAGAAGGAAAAGCCACAGCGTTGCAGATATGAAGAAACTTCAGAGTCACAACGACAATGGCCAGAGCGTAGAAGAGGCGACCCAGAGAGGAAAGACTTCACAAAATTCTTCATACCTCAAAACCCTTTTTCCATCTCAGGTGATCACTTTTGACTATATTTATACTAATTTTTTAGAGGTTTTATCACTCATTGACGACAACTGCTGCAATTCTATCCCATCTTTGTCATTGTCAAGAACATCAAAGAACCAGTAGTGAGAAATTGGATGATTACTTTTAACTATACTTTTGAAAAAGTCTACAAATGCACTAACGTTCTTGCTCACAAGGCTTTTTATAAAGATTTTGATATTTTTATCTTTACCAATCCGTCCCTAATTGTATAAGCTTTATGACTTTAAATATGACTAGACATTAGTTTTTTTGCATAGTTAACCCGTGGCCTTGTATTAAAAAAAATAACTTTTTTTCTATCTATATTTATCCTCATTTTTTCACTTCTTTCTTTAACCTACCTGTGTTTTTCTAAGCTCATTATATGTAGCAGACCCATTAGTCTCTTTTTCATGGTCCAAATCCTTATTAATATTAAGCCTATCCATTTGGTGGAGGGGAGGGAAAAAATTTTAAAATTTTTCTTCCAAAAACTCCCACCCATATTAGGGGGATCTCCCCCTCACCTCACCTCCCTTCCCTTCCATCCTCTTCATTTTCTTCTCCTTTCCTACAACCAAACATAACCTTATAGTAAGATTATTCCCTGAATTTAATTGACGTTTATTTCCGCTACAGATCATCGAGGGAGAAGCTGAATAACTTCGTAATCTCAATCTTAACTCTCGTATCCTTGAGGTGATTTAAATGCTTGCCCTTCCTGATCCCTTTTGTTCTTTCCTTGCACCTTTTTTTCTTAAAAAAAAAAAAAAACTAATGAATACTGGGGCTTTTGGCTTGAGGATGACAGTGTTATGAAATAATCGAAAGAAAGAGGCTACTGGCAGTCTTGAATATTTTTATCACCAAGAGCGCTAACAAGAAATTTTAATATGAATATTGAGTGTTTTTTCGGTTCAGGCCATGTGTTGAATTGTTAACATCACCTTGGAGGAGTCCATTGTTGAACAGATTAATGGAAGGCTGCCATGAGTCCTCGTTTCTCCAATTATACAGTTAGCTATCAATCTGCATAACTTTGTTTATAATTTTTGACCATCTAATACACTTTTAATCACATGCTTAGACATGTACTGTGATTTGAGATTCTAAGATCTTGGTTTTGTTGCACAGATTGGACAATTTAAGCGCCTTCTAGGGGTCACACAAACACCTACA